GAATATTCTGGAAATTAAGCCTTTGTCAACAAAGTCGCATCATTTGCAAATACGTTCTCCCGTTCCATAGGTTGTCTGTTTTGTTTATAGTTTCCTTTGCTGTGCAGAAGCTTGTAAGTTTAATTAGGTTCTACTTTGTCTATTATTAATATTGCTCTGTTAACTTTTTTATCCTTGCTCTTTGTCTGGTATGTCTTTTTCTGTCTTTTAATTTTTTACAATATTTGGTCTTATATTTGAAAAGTATGAGGTTAGGTTTTGCTTTTTAATTCTGATAATCTCTGCCTATGAATTGCATGTTAAGTTCATTTATATTTACACATATTTTAGACTGTTTAAAATTGTCTTATTGGTCCTTAAGTCTCTGTTCATTTTCATTTATTCATTTTTCTCTTTACTCTTCAGATTGATTTGTGTTCAGGTTTGCCTTCTATCTCCATTCTCTGATAAGCCATTCTAAAGAATTTTCCATTTTAGTTATTTTTTCAGTTGTAGAGTTTCCAATTAGTTCTTTTTTTTATAGTTTCCATTTCTCTGCTGATATTTCCTTCTTTCCATTTCTTTTTTTTTCTTTAACATACTCTCTTTTAGGTTTTTCTCATATTTATAAAAGATATTTTAAAGTATTTGTTAGTGAAATCCAACATCGTTTGTGGTTGTTTTCTATTGACTGCTTTTTTCTTGATGATGAGTCACATTTTCCTTTCTACCTATCGAGTAATTTTTAAATTATATACTGGTCTTTGTGGATATGTGGTAGAGATTCTGGATGTTATTATTTTCCTTTGACAAGTGTTGCTTTTCATTCTAGCTGTCCAGTTACTTGCTGATCACCCTTAACTTGTGGAGCCTTAGTTTTATACTTTGTAAATGAAAATGTGTTTAAACACCAAATTGTTTCCCAAGTCCTTTTAACTGTCAGAACTGCACCTCCAAATTCTGTTCCCCTTTTGATCTTTTAGGGTTTGGTATTCATAGGCTTCGCTACGTAGTGCTAGAGTAGGCCTTGCTTTAGAGCATGGTTCTTTCTCCTAAGATGTTACACCTGGATACTCAGGAAATTATCAAGATTTCTCCACTCTTTTCTTGATTGGAAATTGAATATCCCTGAAATGATGTTTAATATCTAGTATCTCTGTTTTATTATCAACCTCATAGCAGTTGCTCTTTGGTATACCTTTCGTATTTTCTCCTTTGCTGGTCTGGCCCTTAGCCAAGGACTCATATGGACTTTTAGGAGCCTCCCTTTGCATAGCTCCTTACTTTCCTGTTTCCTGCCCAGCATAATCCAGCCGCCTCCTCAACTCATCAGGACCACTGTGCTTAGCTTAGATGATCGCTTGTTGTATACTATTTGGGATATTGCCTTCAGAATGTCTGGGCAATTATGAGATTGACTTGATGAGTTTCTCTTCTTTCAGGGATTATAGTTTTTTGCTACCTATTTTACAAAACTTGAAAATAATTGCTTCATATATTTTGCCATTTTGACGATTGTTTACAGTGAGAGGGCTAACTGGTACCAGTTATTCTGTCATAGCCAGAAGTGCATGATTCTGAGTGGTAAATATTTGTATTACTTATTTTCATGTTAGGACTTGACTTTATTTTCTGTTAGTGATGTTTTCAAGCCCATTCAACCAATAAAATTTCTTGCCTGGGTTTTGTTAGCGGGAAGAAAACTTTCTCTACGAAAGAAGTACCTTCCCTGGGGAAGACAGAAACATTCCTTTGGTTTACCTTATTTTCATCAGTATAAATATTGATTCTAAATATGAACAGTCATTGGTGACAATGACTAGAAATATTACTTGTTGAATTTTTCTTAAAACTGAAAATTCATAGTGTGGCCAGTTATCAAATAAAACTTTTTTCTCAGACAATAATTCATTTATCAAATATTTAGTGAGTGTTTTAATGACCAGTGCTGGCATTTTACCTGGCACTGAGGGTATAATCGAGAATAAAACAGGCATGGGAAATCTCTGCCGTTGTTGAGCTTACGTTCTAATATGGCAGACAGACAATACAAGGAAACAAAAATTACAAGTTATGGTATCTTCTAGGAAGAAAACAAATTGAGTTCTAGGGTAGAGAACAATGAGACTCCTTCTACTACATTTGCAGTTACTTCCCTTCACTGAAAGCTTGAACCCCTCAGAGTCATCTGTGAGAATTGAAACTAACTTTTTCCAAACTCCTGTTAATGTTGATATATCGACCCCTACCCATGGATCATGAATGTTCTTCATGGCATCTAGAA